CTTGATTACCGCCGATATGCAGAAACACTCTTTGACATTCTGGTGGCTGGTGGAATGCTGGGTAAGTGAGTTTTGTGGGCTTAATAATTTTGACCAATTAATTATGGAGAATCCACAATGTGAACTACTTGACGAACCTATCAAAAGGGGTTGGGTTGTTTTGGTTTTTTTTTTTTATCATGTTGTATTTTGTTTTGTCTTTACTCCCATAGGCTTCTCCATTTTTTCTCCGAAGTCATAATAACTTATCAAGTTGCCTTGCTCCATCTAACCTCATATTTGAAGTGTTATGGAACCATAACACTTGGGTATGACTTTTCTGTCTCATAGCTAAGTCCCCACAACATCCCCAATCAGTGATTTTTTCCAACCTGTATTTGAACACTCCCAGTTAATGGAGAAACCCCCACCTCTTGTTTTGTCCTATGAAATACTTCTCCATACCTGAAAGCTCTAATCCTGTATTGTTCAATACAATAGCCTCTAGCAATATGTGGCTATCACATACTTGGACTGTGGCCAGTCCAAATTGAGATGTGCTGTTAAGTGTAAAATACATTGGATTTTAAAGACTTAAGAGAAAAGAATGTAAGACATAAGTAATTCAAAATGTTTTCAGAATAATATTGCATTGAATCCCACAGCCACACTGGTATAATCAAACTTCATTAGTATACATGTGGAATGGAATCTTAGAAAGGCTTAAGTGACATGTACTCAAACAGTTACGCAGTGGAACCAAGAATTTATTTTTATTTATTTATTTATTTGTTTGTTTGTTTGTTTATTTTTAAAGATGACCAGTAAGAGGATCTTAACCCTTGACTTGGTGTTGTCAGCACCACACTCTCCTAAGTGAACCATGGGCTGGCCTTGGAACTGAGAATTTATAATTGATACCTTCTAATGCCTGGTCAAATAAGTATTTCTTTCATTGTATTACCAGTTTGTAATAAGAAATATGGAAGATTTCAGTTGTTTGTTTATAATACTGCTATAAACGAGGCTTTTAAAAAAATTCTTTTAAAATACATTTACTAAGAAAATTTTTACATATCCTAAACAGAATAGTATAATGAACATCTGATCTGTTACCCAACTTTAGCAATTAAGAACAAACAATCTTACTTCATCTGTACCCCCACTGATTTCATCCCACTCCCCCATTTTTTAAAGTATAAAGTCTTTGGAAGCTTGAAGGGTTATTTTCTTTGTGGAAAGTTACATGTAATCAAAACCAGCACTGATATCTTCACTTGACAGATTTGGCACTATTGAGTGGTTAACAAAGTGAGTTTCATTGGGGAGCTAAAGTGAATTGTTTTGTTTATTACCGTATAAATTGTTTGACTTTATTTTTACATATTGAACCAACCAGCCAAGTTCCTACTGACAAGTTGACTTTGCCTTCAACTCATCTTTTAGAATGTTGCTGTTTTATTTTATAACGAAAGTCCTAATAGACAAAAGATTTAAGTGGTTGCTAATTCAAAATGGTCACTGCATATTTTTTGTGAAATATACCTTAGCCCCAGGTGGTACACTGGCAGATGACATGATGCGCACAGATGTCTGTGTGTTTGCAGCACAAGAAGACCTAGAGACCATGCAAGCATTTGCTCAGGTAAATGAAACTATTTAATTTTCTTCGGTAAGCTACTATCCATCTAACAAAAGTGCAGTAGGATGAATTAGAAACTTCAGATATGTTAAGGAAAACAAAGTAGAAAAAGATTAAATTAGCTTTCCTTTTTCTATTTGTCCCTCTGGAATTACTCCATTTTTAAGAACAATATCAAGCTGAAAATCAGTTTCTTCTTGTGGTTTCCATAGTTGAATTACTCTGCATACAAATATTTTTAAAGGTAGGTGAATTGTAGGCATATTAGTTCATTAATCAAAATCTCATTTGAAGGTTTTGTGCATAGTTGTGTTTGTATTACTGTAAACAAAAAATTCAAATGCATCTTACCTGGAAATTGTGATCTATGTTATTAGGAAATGTAGAATTGTGTTTTATGATCTTATTCTGTTCATGTCCTACAAATGGGTATGACTGGTATTTGAGCAATAATTTGTCCTTGTTTAATATACAGCAGTAAAACTCTATCCAGAGGTGGCTATTAAAGTGTTAATATCATTGGTATATTGCAGGATTTGGGAATTGACAAACTCTTAAAGCTGGTTTACACAACTTGTAAGCTGTTATATCCAGTGGGATGTTTGCTTCTCTGCTGTTATAGAAATTCTGTGGGAAGAATCCCTGATCTAGATCTTTTAGGGATCTGCATCTACACATAGGAAGTTGCCACTAAATTCATTTAATGTTCTTCATAGGTTTTTAACAAGTTAATCAGGCGCTACAAATACCTGGAGAAAGGTTTTGAAGATGAAGTAAAAAAGGTATGAGATGTAATCGTCTCGTGGGAAAGAAAAGGTTGCAGTCAGAAAGGGGAATGTTAAATCCTAATTCTGCCACAGATTACAGCTAATTTTAGATATTTGGGTAGGCTGTCATTGAAATGTAGTTTGGGGGTATGTTGTTTTTTTGTTTGTTTGTTTTTTTAAAGATGACCGGTAAGGGGATCCTTAACCCTTGATTTGGTGTTGTCAGCACCACGCTCAGCCAGCGAGCTAACCAGCCATCCCTATATGGGATCCGAACCCGTGGCCTTGGTGTTATCAGCACCGCACTCTCCCGAGTGAGCCACGGGCCGGCCCGGGGGGTATGTTGTTTTATTTTATTAAAATATTTCTAACTTGCTGTACACTGCTTCTTAGCTCTGCATCCAAACAAATGGTAAAGGGCTAAAAATCAAAGTAGGGTTTGTTCAAAAAATGTAAGGTAAATGATCAGGGCTATAACATTGGGTGAGCAATTTAGCCTAGTTGGTATCTGAGTCCTAGTTTTAGATATTTCATACACGCGTGCATAGAAAATCTGGTAGTATTAATAGTAATATTTTTTTGAATACCAAGCACTGTTCTAATTAAATTAACTCATGTAGTATTCACAAGAACCCTGTAAGGCAAGTTTTGTTATCCATGTTTTACATTATGAGGAAACTGAGGCACAGAGGTTAAGAAACTAGCCCGAGATCACTCAGCTAATGAGTATTATAAGGAGATATAAACTTGGGTAGTTAGGTCCCAGGACTCACACTTTTAACCAATATAGTGTGCTTTACTGCTTCTCTTAATATAATGCAATTGTTCTTTTAACCCTTAACTATTTATTTTTACAGCTGCTGCTGTTCTTAAAGGGTTTTTCAGAGTCGGAGAGGAACAAGCTGGCTATGTTGACTGGTGTTCTTCTGGCTAATGGAACACTTAATGCATCTATTCTTAATAGCCTTTATAATGAGAATCTGGTTAAAGAAGGTAATCAACCTTTAGTAAAGGATGGTCTTTAGTTGTCTGAGAGTGGGGTAGATAAGAGCATGAAGGATGAACCGATATAAAAGTTAACCCGTGATTTATTGTTTATAAGTGTGACTTGCGTGATAGTCTTCGTTTATTAACCATCCTTTATCTTAGTAAGTGCATTCCAATTCAGTGGACATTTGTTATATGCTTTCTTTAGGCATATAACAAATTTCCAAGGTTTAAACAAATGTGATTACATGTAATGAAAGTAAAAAGAATTGCTGTGGGAACCCAGAAAGATATTAATGCCAATTGGAAGACCTGGGGAATGTCTTTAAGGGAGAAGATAACATTGGGGAAAATATCAAGCTGGAAAAGAAAATCAGTTCCCTGTTGTGTCTTCAATAGTTGAATTATTCTGTGCAGTAGTTTTTTAAAAAGCTAGGGTTTTTTTCTTTTCTTTTTTTTTTTTTACCACTTGGCGTACTTTTTAAGGTGCCTCTAGTTCTCACAACAAGCCTGTCTGGTGTAAGAACTGTTACCTTCAATTTACACATTAGAAAACACTTAAAATGACTTAGCCAAGAATATACAACTAACAAATAGTAGAATAGGGAAATTGGAGTGAAATGGTAAACAGTGACAGAAGAAAGTTCTGGGTTAAGTTTGGGGAGAAAGTGAGTAATCCCATGTGGTTGAACTAAGGAGGGGAGGATATGGGGCTGGCTATGTTGACTGGTGTTCTTCTGGCTAATGGAACACTTAATGCATCTATTCTTAATAGCCTTTATAATGAGAATCTGGTTAAAGAAGGGGTTTCAGCAGCTTTTGCTGTAAAGCTCTTTAAATCATGGATAAATGAAAAAGATATCAATGCAGTAGCTGCAAGTCTTCGGAAAGTCAGCATGGACAACAGACTGATGGTATGTAACTTTTTTCGTCCCATTCCTGCCAACACTTAAGGCGAGTGTAATGAGAGATATTTCTCATTTTTAAGTATGTGAAAAGAGAGTGTTTTTTTAATTTGATTTAAAGACCAATTTAACCAGATTAAATTTTCCTTTCAGGAACTTTTTCCTGCCAATAAGCAAAGTGTTGAACACTTCACAAAGTATTTTACTGAGGCAGGCTTGAAAGAGCTTTCAGAGTATGTTCGGAATCAGCAAACCATAGGAGCTCGTAAGGAGCTCCAGAAAGAACTTCAAGAACAGATGTCCCGTGGTGATCCATTTAAGGATGTAAGCTTTTTTTGTTTAAACCATCTTTTTTATGGCTAAGCTCGCATAGAAATTTTCACTCATTTAAGAACCTTTAAAGTATTTCACCAGAGTGAGTTTGAATTAATAGTTATAAGAATATAATACTGGGACTTTGTCTCGGTCTTTTTCATATACTTACTTAGAAATAACACTTGGGGATTTTGTAGAATGCAAGCCAGTGGACAGACCCAGTTCTGTTTCCATCTCAGTTCCTTCATGACTGGTTTATGTAAGATATGAGGTTGGAATTCAGCCCCTTCCAGTTCTAAACATTCTCTGTTTATATATGGTATACATATAGCTGTTGCCAGTTGCATGGAAAAGTGTTCTTACACTTTTGTAAAAGGTGTAAATTTGAAGATTTGTATGTACATATCAAAACTGACTTCTTACTGAATTTGGATTCTTTTACAGATAATTTTATATGTCAAGGAGGAGATGAAAAAAAACAACATCCCAGAACCAGTTGTCATTGGAATAGTTTGGTCAAGTGTAATGAGCACCGTGGAGTGGAACAAAAAAGAGGAGCTTGTAGCAGAGCAAGCCATCAAGCACTTGAAGGTATTAGAACTGTGTCTTGACTATTCTGCTTTTAAGTGGGGATAAGTGACCTGTCACTGTACTTTTCTAAGAGGATTTATCACATCCTGTGGTTCCTGGGGATGACCCACCAGTAAGTAGACAAATAATATATTTACTTGATAATAACACTTTTAAGTCTGACTTGGGCTTTCTTTGGTTGGCAAGTTAAAAACAAGAACATGTTTAAAAGTAGCTTAAGCCTAAAATTTGATGTTTGCTTTTGAGGGACTGTTGGAAAACAGGAATGTAATTTTTTTTTCCTTCTAAAATACTAATATGTTGACAGTTACCTAGAATACTTGCTGCAGTATTGCTTATTTGACTTAGGCACTTAATAATTCTGCTTTACTGTTTTTGTATTTAATTTCCAACTAATATAGTTCACAGTGCTTATAAAAGATGAGTTATATTCTGTATTGTAGAAATTTTGTAGAGGATGATCATTGTAATGAATAGCTAAAACTTTTCTCCTTTCCCTTTAAAAGCAATACAGCCCTCTACTTGCTGCCTTTACTACTCAAGGTCAGTCTGAGCTGACTCTGTTACTGAAGATTCAGGAGTATTGCTATGACAACATTCATTTCATGAAAGCCTTCCAGAAAATAGTGGTGCTTTTTTATAAAGGTAATATAAATTTTGAATTTTGTGAATGCATTTAACAAACATCCTTGAATTCTCAAAATAATTCAAATGAGTAATTTAAACATCTGCTAAAATATAAGAAACACTTTACTGCATTTAACAAACATCCTTGAATTCTCAAAATAATTCAAATGAGTAATTTAAACATCTGCTCAAATATAAGAAACACTTTACTTCAGGGCCGGCCTGTGGCTCACTCAGGAGAGTGTGGTGCTGATAACGCCAAGGCCACAGGTTCGGATCCCATATAGGGATGGCCGGTTAGCTCACTGGGTAAGCATGGTGCTGACAACGCCAAGTCAAGGGTTAAGATCCCCTTACCGGTCATCTTTTTAAAAAGAAAAAAAGTAAACACTTTACTTCTAGTCACAAGATAGTCGTCTCTGATTAAATTGGGTGCTTTTTAATGCATTGGTATCAAAACATTCCTAAATCCTATCCACAGTTAAAATCTGAAGCCTTTATGATGCAGCCTCAAACTTGTCTCCTATACTCTAGCCATATCAAATTCCCCATGTCCCTTCCCCAGATACATTCTTCATATCTATGTAGTCTTCAGTTTCTACGTGAAGCTTGCTTCCCTTCACCTTACACCAGCACCCAATGTTGAGTGGCACTTGTTCTTCAAAACCAGTTCAAAATGCACTGTTAGAACCCTCTGTTTCAATTGTTACTTCCTTTTCTGTAATACCAATTTCAGAAACCTGATTTAAAGTGGTTAGTAAAGATAAGACCTCTATTGGAAAAGAGAACCTATTGCAGTTTTTTAATTTACTATGGTTGGTGATAACACTTTTTTAAATTCTGCATTAATCACAGCCTTGATCCCACTGAATATAGTTGGTTAGTGGTATTCTATCCCCTAGTTTTCATAGCTGATTTTGTTAGTGCCTATATTATAAACTTGGAATAGGAATCTACCCAAATACCCATAAATTTTTTTTTAAAGAAAGTATGGGGTAATGAACTCAGAGTATTCATGCTTCAGTGATTATCTGCTTGTGGTTAGGCTTCTTAGAAGCATTTATACACCCCCATTTGCTTCCCCACACCAGATTATTTAGAAGCAAATTCTAGAACTCTTCATTGAATTCTAATTTTTCAGTAAAGTATAAGGACTTTTTAAAAATAATAAAACCACAGTATCGTTTTTACCTTAAAATTGAACAAATTTTCTATCAGATATTTCTTGTTAAAACAAGGTTTCGCAACTTTGGCATTACTAACACTGCTTGCCAGCTACCACTTCTTTGTAAGTGACTATCCTGTGCATTGTAGAGTGTTTAACAGTATTCCTGACATCTATCCAGTAGATGCCAGTAGCACCTCTCCCCAGTGTGACATCCCAAGAATGTCTGCAGACATTGTCAAATGTTACTTGGAGAGCAAAATTACCTTCAGTTGAGGAATCACTGGTTTAACAAGTTTTTTTCTCCAGTTTGTTTCACGTTCGTACACTGGCAACAAGTTGATGAAAGCCTGTTAACATGGGTCCTGTTTCATCTTTTCTATTTTTCTTTAAATTGATGGTTTAAGAAACCAGTGTATCGAATACAGATTTATCTTGGATACAATAAATATAACTGTTTTTACTGAAATTTTTGGTAGGATCTTGTTTGCCAAGCAGGCTTTTGCACCCTAGGTGATTTTATCTCTGCTAGAGGTAGAGAAATACAGTAATCCTTATCCATAGTTTCAGTTACCTGAGGGTCAACCGTGGTCCCAAAATATTAAATGGGAAATTCCAGAAATAAGCAATTCATAAGTTTTAACTTGTGCCTTGTTCTGAGTAGCATGATGAAATCCCTCTGTCCTGCTTAGGGCATGAATTATCCCTTTGTCCAGCATATACACGCTGTATACTTTACCTGCCTCTTAGTCACTTAGTTGTACCCTTGGTTATCAGATTGACTATTGTGAAATTGCAGTGCTTGTATTATTAAAAATTGTTCTGCTTTATTATTAATTATTGTTAGTAATCTCTTACTATACCTAGTTTATAAATTAAACTTTATCATACGTCTATATGTATAGGAAAAAATATGCAGGGTTTGGTCCTATCTCAGTTTCAGGCATCCACTGGTGGTCTTGGAACGTACGCTCCATGGATAAGGAGGGGACTACTGTATATTAAAACTCCCCTAATATAATGGTTATTCTTTATAGCTGAAGTCCTGAGTGAAGAACCCATTCTGAAGTGGTATAAAGATGCACATGTTGCAAAGGGGAAAAGTGTCTTCCTTGAGCAAATGAAAAAGTTTGTAGAGTGGCTCAAAAATGCTGAAGAAGGTAAGTCTTTGTGCACTTCGTGAAGCTTAGAAACTGATTTTAGGGCCGGCCCGTGGCTCACTTGGGAGAGTGCGGTGCTGATAACACCAAGGCCACGGGTTCGGATCCTATATAGGGATGGCCGGTTTGCTCACTGGCTGAGCATGGTGCTGACAACAGCAAATCAAAGGTTAAAATCCCCTCACCGGCTTTTTTTTTTTTTTTTTTTTTAAGAAGAAGAAACTGATTTTAATGTGGCCAGAGTGTATGTCCACACATGCTTTCTTCTTTTATTCTGATGCTACTTTGTACCGAGGGTACAGATTTTTGTTCACTTATGACAGACATGAAAATGATTAGTTTGCAGGTCATTTGATTTAATGCAAGTGGGGAAAAACTAGACTTTAATTATTAAAGTATTTCAGTGGTTCATCTATAATACTAAACATTCTTAGGAAGAAAATCAAAAATTTTGAGAATATTCAATATTATAATTTTGAGATTTATAAATGAACACTTGAATATTCCACTCATGTAAGGATATTATTAATAAAATTAATTACGACAAAAAGCTTCAAAGTTATAAATGGGAACTTTTGCTTTCTGTTATAATGCTTGACTGCATTTTTCCCCTTTTCTAGAATCTGAGTCTGAAGCTGAAGAAGGTGACTGAATTTTGAAACTACACCCTCAGTAAAGCAAACAGGAGTTGTAGATAAAATGTCATGTCTCATGTGTCCTGGTTCTTACGTTTTCCTACCTCCCTATATCAAGC